GAAAACATGACCGTAGTGGCAACAACCTAATGAGGCTTACTTATCTGATTGGTTTCTAATTTATCTATTTGGATATTTATTCATGGTTGTATACAAACATGCGCTACATTAGGCTACTGGGAGCACAACGCCAATAAGATCGAGTATACCCTGCTGTCTTGTTTAGTGAATCGAAGAAAAAAAGCCTCCATGGCGTGCCCTTATCGAATACTGAAACAAAGTCTATCTAAAGCTATCGAATGGGCATAGGAAAGGCTTGCGGTGCACCTGCAGTTCATGTCGGGGCGGTTAGAATTAGAAGAAAACCATCTCCTGAAGAAATCTGGCCATTGCCAATAGTCTGTAACCGCTGTCGTGTAGGATATCCGAGACTGAATAGTTCCGCTGCCAGTCTGGAGTCACTGGAGAATAGGAGAAGGGGGTGGAGGTCTAAAATATCATATCGGCCCACAAGCAAACAGATACATACAGTTCTCGGTAATTTCCATCACGATAAACTTCCCGCTTCAGGCTGCTCATCCATCCCTCCGTCCCTCCCTCTCTCAATGAATCATGGCAACTATCGCTGCCGATTGAAGGTGTATGGTATGGAGACTGAGAGCGATCTAGCGCGTTTTTCCATTTCCACGCAAACCGAGAGTGATTCCCATTTACGAGAATTGTTTCTTTCGCTTCCGACATAGAACGATCACATGGAACAGTTGAATAGTGGCACGCCCCTTTCGACAGTATTCATCGCTATGTTCTCTAGGAGGTATAGGAGAATGTTTGACAAATTGACTCAGCAAAAGAAAAACCGAGGCTTTACACTTCCCCTCTCCGAATTTTCTTTTATTGTAATCTCAGCCTCTACTACACTGTTATTCCTGTACCTCGGGCGCTTATTTTCAGATACAACAGTTTATTGACCAGTTATTGCTAAATTATTACGCAATACTACTGATAATCTCCCGAGGAAAGCAAGTTGTAAGCAGAACTTTCCTTTCGGACGGGAATCGAATCGTTTTTGCTCTATCTCTTTATTCCTCACACTACCGAGACCCCGCTTACCACGATGTACCTGACTTACGTTCAAAAGTCAGCCGAGACCCTTTTGCATCAGGCTGCTACACGATCCTGACGGATGGAAGATTTGATGGTCCTTAGCGAATTTCGCAGTTTGCCCTAGTTTCGATCCCTGTACCACAGACATGATATCGTACAGGGTTACCCCAGACCACAAGTTGAGTAACCTCAAGAGGTATGGTTTGCCACTACCGGAAGAGGATGAGAATTTTAAAAAGAATGACCATGAGTAAAATAGATTTACTACATTTTATTCTACAGTATATATGTAAGTCTTATCGCACTTTATCGTCACTTACACGGAAAATGTACAGAGAAGTTATCATGAGCCGTTTAAGGCAGAAGCGTTGTTTGTTTCGGTTAAGGAAATTGTTTACGAATGATTTTACTTTCACTGAAAACCTCTCAAAATTCGAGGGTTACGCAGTTGGTGAGAGATGTGAAAGGAACGTTAGAGCTCTGAAATATTGCTCTTATGATGAAATAGATTTTCCCTCACATATCTTTTCGGAACGCAAGGTTGTGGTAAGCCCTGCTCAAAAAATGGTGCGTCAACTTTCAGTTTCCACTAAAAGTTGCAAATCGGTTGATTGAATTTTTTGATTCTACGATGCAATTGACAGCAAATGTAGGATGGGGCACGCCAAGTACTCCATAGAGGCAGCAAATGAGAGCCGCATGATTATTTCCAAAAGATTTTTCGAAAAGGGGCTTAGTAGCCCTCAAAACATGCTGCTACTGTCATGGTTCAGTGATGAAATCCGGGACCTATACTCTCTGAGCCCTCTAGGGTCGAGTAATTGGTATCAGATTAGTGCACAAACAGTACGGAGAGTAGTACACAAACTTGTACATCGCTTAGCCACCGTAAGTCTTCGTATGGTTACAAACGTAATGAGACTCCACAACGATTCTGTAGGGGCATAGAAAACCGCAACACGTGATTCACGAACACCAAAAACCTTTCCTCTATAACTTATGCTGATTGTGAGGAAAGAGACCAAGAAGTCCTGGCTAGCAGTAAGAAGGATTCCACAGTCATATCGCGTCTGTCTGTCTGGACGTCTGTCGGTTCAAGGCTGCACCATCTTCGTTCGCCCATGACAGAAGGGAAGTTAACCTTAAGCTTCTGAAATGGCCTCAGGGAAGAGGTCAAGGAGCCCTAGCAAGCACGAGAAGGACGTCAGAATCTTATAACTGACGACTATCCTTCGACTTACAGTCGCACCATCATCTCTCGTCCCTGGTAGAAGGGGAACGTTCCAAAAACCAAGCAAGAACGTAAGGAGCCATCTGGCAATAGTATCCCATTTGTCCATGTTCCCCAAGTAGATGTAGGAATCGTGTCGATATTTCAAAACTAGTCCCTTTCCCATTTTACAAATGCGAGCCCCTCTTATATGCCACCCCCGGGAAAACTACGGTTTGTGCTATGGCAGTTGTGCCCCCCGTTCTTCTTCGTTGGCTCGTCTTCTCTTCCGTCTCATCCCTTGCCCAACACGTTCAACCGTTCTCTCTCTCGGCATTTCACACAGCCCATGCCTCGTTCCTTTTTTTGACCCCACTTCCGAAACGGCACACACTACGACGACTCTACTGAATCGATTGGCTCATACGACGACTCGCTCGACGACGATGTGGAGCCCCTCTCTCGAAAAGTTGCAATGTATGGAGTGTGTGCCCTTTGCAGCACGCCAACCTTCGATAAATGTCAGAAGGTACTGAAACAAAAAACTCTGACATACTGCAACTTTATGGCAGAGTATAATTCTCAAGGTACAAGTATTGGTCAGTATGTGGTGACAAATGATCCCACTTAGGGCCCCATTGCTACCCTGAAGAGAACTTTCTTGCACTGGACCGCGGAATGGCGAATAATTGATGATGTTCCTCAAGTTTGTGCCAAAAACCGAGCACTCACTCCGCTCAGGAGCAGCTTGGGTAGTTCCTGAGAGGATGAGCTCTACCTAGAGCTTAAGTGAGCTCAATCCATACTCTATATACTCTATTGAAGTATTCATGCCACTACCACCTCATTACTATTAAGAACAGCCCCAAAGGGTAAAAAGGAGGTATGACTACTGTGCCGCTACCTGAAGAGAATCCCCAGTCATTTTGTGAGGAGGTGGGTCTTAGGAAAGGTTCCCACCCAGCCTGATTCCCCCTGTGCACGATGGTTTGATTGAAGTATTTAACAAAAATCGATGATTGAACAACGTACGACGTAATACGGTACTGTATTCTTATGCTAATATGATTCGGCAGTTACGCTACTGTACTTTACCAGTTTCGTACCGTGGGTGTGTACAACCTGGATTCACTTCGAGACCAATTGGGTTGATGCGTTTTCAAATCAATAAACATAATCAATAAAGCCAATTCAATATTTTCCTAAAACTGGCCATACTGGAATGTCAGAGCGCATCAAGAGATAAATAAGTGAACCAAAAAGTAAATTCCTTTCATTGTACATACGATTCGCTTAGGGCGGAAGTACTGTAGTGTAAGTGACACACGCAATGACACGTGCATGGTCCGAAGATCGAATCCCAGGCCAAGCGAGCCTTCTATCTCTCCAGGGTGGCTTAACTGGTACCACTCCTCTGATGGTACAGAAGCATGGCTTGCTCATAGTCTCGTAACCGCGATTCAATGTATAGGACACATACGCATTCAAACTGCCATTAGAATTCTGAATGGCAGTAGAATGCGGGGCGCATCTCAAACAAAGGACTGACAAACTTTAAGCATCCTTAACGATCTAATAGCCCATTCCCTTCCATCTTACCACTGAGTGAATAGTTCGTCTCTGTCAATTCAGTGTTTATTTTACGCACGCACGGCGATTTTTTTGATGTTTATGAACGGAAGCTAACACCTTCGCGCATTCCAAGCGCGTTGGGAAGTTCTCGAGTATACTAAACGGATTTTAATAAAAATTAACTTTTTAACATAAGTTTTGGCTGCACTACTTCAGAATTAGAAGCCTCCCCGACCACCTTGTCCCACCTTTGGTTACTGTGACTAGCTCTTTGCGCAATTGCACACTACTAAATCTCGTCCAAATACGGAGTTTCATCCCTTTGGAGAAGTTACCGTGATGTCTACTGCCCACATCAGCAGTTAAAACTCGGACCATTCGTGAGAAGTTCCGCTGTAGTAGAAAGAACGAGGGACCAGATCTTTGGCGTTACCCAACCTTGAGTAGGGTAAGGCCTGGTTGGCCTGAGCGGTCATTGATTCGGGATCGTTCCCCTGACCGTGCATGAGTGATAGTGCGCCTCTTGTCGTTTCACCACCTCCGCTTCCGCTGTAGTATGGCTGATTATAACTATGCGTGTATGTCAACTATATCTAACTCGTCCACAGGTTTTACTCTATCTCGTCCACAGGTTCTGCTTATCACCGTTCATGCATGAAACTACAAAATGCCACCCGTCAACTACAGCTGATTATCACGTCATCATCATTGCAACATAAGTGCAACATGGGGCGAGGCCATCTCATGTGAGACATCTGTCATTCCATTGCATTGATGGCGAGCGGAAAACTCGTACGAAAAAACGCTAGCAAGCCAATAGACAACTCAGGCGGCGGCGGCATGTCGTCACAAAACAAAACACACCAACACAGCACTCAATACTCACTCACCAATATATCGGCAAGCGCCGGTTGAGGAGTCCATGGTAGGGTATTTGATGGTCCGGGCTGCTGCTGGCCGTCGCCATTCATCGACCTGAAAACTTCCCATTTGTTACGAGAACGAGGGGAAAGAGAAATTTTTCGCAGAAAACGCATCAGTGAACGTGCATTTCGCAGGAATTTCGAGACCAGAGATCATTAATAATGCCATTTTCATGGAATTTCATTATATTATGAAGATTTCTTGCTTACATCGTGACTTTGATATGAGCCATATGGCTCTTTGATAGATGGCTATAAGGTCTCTAGAAGTTCGAGTCAGTCATTTTGCAACTGGATGTAAACGGATAAAGACAGTCAGGTGAGGTTTCATTCAGGAGTTTCCGGCGGTCCAGGAGGTCCAGTTAGGAAACTCCATCTTTGCGAGGACAGGATCACCACAAGCAAGCTTATCTTCGGATGGTGTGGAGCTCCTAAACAAACACAACCTCTTGGGAGCCATTTTATATTTCAGTGTGGTTCTTGTCGTGTAAGGCAACCAGCAGCCTATGAATCGAAACTACACCAGACTGGATTTTCACGCTATGGACCGCCTTTAATACATACATACACACATATGAACGGGGTATCGACAGAATTCTAGAAAATCGATAGTCATCCAAAGTATACAGAATAGTTAGGAATGAATCGAATATACCAGGAAGAAAAAGCAGTGACGATAGGTCCGACGATATTTTAGCAGTTAATCAGGAAAAAACCGCATTTCTTTCGCGGTAATATCCGATCATTACCACCGCCCAGATAGCTCCGCCCACCACGGGAACCCCGCCCATACGAGAAAATTGATTATGTTGAGTGGTGACTGCTACTCTCTTTGCTACCAGAAGCTAACTACAGGTATTTCCGCCCATCTAAAGAAATGTGCCGATTCAGGAAGCTAGCTTTCGTTTTGCTTTTGTCGACTTTTTCAGCTAAAGGGGAACGGGGAGACGGGGAGAAGGGGAAGGGCGAGGGGGGAGGG